CCAGTCCTTGGGTTGACAATATCCCAATATCCTCTATCATCCTTACAGCCAAGTGTTATTTATTTTATAATATGAACTGATGTTTAATTGATGTAAATATACTTGCTTTTATTTATTTTTTTTGGGGGGGGGGGGGGGTGGGGGGGGGGGGGGGGGGGAGGACATAAGTGTTAAGACTTCTCAATTAAGAAAAAAATTGAGGGATTATTTTCACATGACAGGTATGAAAAGGTTTAAATAAGATTGTTTCAATATTGAATATTGTATATTAACTTGATATTGAGTCAAAAGTTTCATGAAAACTTTAATCATATGCCTTTTACATTTTTTACCATTATATCTACTGAAGTACAAAACCATTCTATGATAATATAGAGAAGTCATTGCTATTTGAACCTAATTCTTACTGATATATAACAAATTTTGATGATGTTATCACAAATATTTTATAAATTCCCAGAATATTTATGACACTTTATATATGATAAAATTTTGCAGAATTTTAAAAGTTTAAACTTAAAAGATATACTATGCTCAAATTTGATATTAGAAAATATTGATAATTGCTACACAGTCTCTAAGACTATGATAAATATAAAATAAACATGTTTGACTTCACACAAAAGAAGATATGTAAAATATGGTACATACAATATATTAATATATAGTGTCATTAATAAAAACAACAGTCTTTTTAAGAAAGTTTAAGAAAGACCAACATTATGTGTTCTGTAATGGGAATGCAGCTTCCCACACAAACTGTATTCATTCTTTTATTCATACTAGACATATTCAGTAACAATGTCACATAATTTAATTGATTTTTGTGTGATTAAAAATACTTAACTCAAAGAATTTGCATAGTATATATTTAAAATATCTGATGATTTTTTTTTGTTCCTTTTAAAATTCCCTAATTTAATACACCGATTAAGTGCAACAGTTAATTTTTACTTTCTGTAATATCATTCACAAGCACTAAGTCTTGTTAAAATTCATTATTACTGTATTACATTAAATTCTCTACAAAATGTACAAAGAATATCTAAACAAAATTGATCTAGATGAAAAAGTTCAAGTCATTGCATATATATATACATGTATACATGAGGTTTAATATCAAAAACCTTAATACTGTGCATTTATAAACACAAAATATTATATTATGCAAGAATAGAAATAATTGCCCTAATTTTGGTCAAAGTTCCAATATTTTGAGCTTTTTAGATGCAAAAGTCCTTTGAAGACATACTGACTATTTCAATAAGGTATAAATTATCAATAAATTAAGCAAATACATGTATGTAACTCTTACAAAACATAATTAAATTTTCTTGTAACAAAAAAATTCAAAATTTCATATTTGACCTTGATGTTAAAGGTCAATCAAAAGTCACATTTGAATCAATTGTCATATTGGAAGTGCTATTTTGTCCAAGTGTGAATCCCATCCATAAATAATGTGCAAAATTATGATGATTTAAACAAGTTATTTGAAATTTTCATTTACATTTATATTTAATTAAAACCTTGGATAAATGTTTAGCTTCAGGATCATTTTAATTAAAAAATTCAATGAACCATTCATAAAAGTTAAATTATTATGCTACATGTAGTTTCTTTCTTGATATCATATGTTTTTTTTTTTTTAATTATCCTGTGGCCATTTTTTAGATTTCAAATTTGTTACAAATATAAAGTGAGATAATTACAAGCCTAAAAATCAAGCAAGGAGAGTATTAGTTGTAATTCCACATTTCACTGGCATGCCAATGAGCAATTATACTTTAGGACAGTATCTAAATGATGTGTTGGCAGATTAAATTGAGTTCCCAGCAGAGTTTCCATATAAAACATTATCTGAAGCTGATGTGTGGTCAGGTATAAAACAATTCTGACAAGATGGGTTAAATTTATAGAAACCTAATCAGCTGGTCATTGACCAGTCATGTAGCACTACATGTTAGTTTATAACAGGCAGTTATGATACTCCACTGATTTAATTCAACCACAGTATAATGATATTAAAGGTTATAAGATGAGGCAATTCAAATTAACACATGAGGTTGAGACAATATAAAAATGCACAATAATAACTTATCTGTTCATTCCTTTCTCTCCATGACTGTAACTATATCCAGAGACTATGTCTCTGCTATATCACACATTTCTAAAAATCAAAAATGTCAGATCTATGACTTTTCAGCATTTATTACTCCATCAAGACAGAAAGATGTAACAAAGATACATTTTAGGTTATTTAGTTCTGTTGCTAGTAGTAATACTAATGGTAAGATTTCATCTAGATCTATCTGTCTTCATTAAAAATATGGTTTTTCATTGCAAAAGTCAGCAGTCACTGATTTTTCTCTAATTGTCTTCTGTGTCTGTTGGTCATTATGTATGTTTTAAGTCATACATAAAACAAGGTATTAGATATATAAGCAACACTTTTTCAAAAGGTATTTAAAACATTAATTATATTAATAAACTGTACTATATGGACATAGATATAAAAACAATTACAAAAAAATACCATCTTGTTTGAAAAATATTGACAATTGAAATACAATGTATAACTTTTCTTACTTTTGTATCTGTTTTTTTTTACAACAATAAGAAAAGAATAATGTTATTATTTCAAAGAAAAGTGTTGGTAGTTTCATATTTTACTTGGTTAAAAAGTATTAATAAAGAATCACAGTTTTTTAATAACTACAAAATAAATAAAAATGAAAAATGTCCTTGAAAAGATTTTTTTTTTGGTTTATTGAGACAGGTACTTGTTATTTTACATCAAATATTAAAGAAAGAGGTTTGGAGTAAGAAAACCTGTTAGATTTTCAATTTGTCTTATAAAATAGGGGCATCAAAATATTATTTAAATAATGATTACCTTGATACAAATCTAAACTTTTGTTAAAAAATATAAAGTATGTTTACTATGCCGATTTTCAAATTTATAATAATCATTTTAAGTTGTTACCGATATCCAATTTCACCACAATTCACAGGATGCATTAAGCTTAATTAGAAAAAAATCAAAAATCTGGCCCTACAAAAAAAAAGACAAAAATTTAAAAAAAAAAATTGCCTCTTCTGGGGTTTGAACCCACACCCTATCAGAACTCTATGTCCATACTCTAAAAATAGGATTCTGCAGTTTTGTTAAGAAAGAGGACCCAAGTTTACTTGACCCCGTAATAAAGTATGCGTTCGAAAATACATATAGTATCACAGTAGTTTATTCATTCCTCTATTTGAAAAGAGACATAATAATTTCATAGATTTTAATGAATTTTGTTAAATATATTTTTACTCAAGGATGAGCATAGTATCTTTAAGCTATTTCAGTTTATTAAGTGGTAGTTAAACAAAATATAGAATATTAATTATGGAATTCTTATAATATTAAAGCATGATATGTACATTATACATCAGTGTTTTTTTCTCTACTTTGGGAATGGTGCCGGTACCAGACTGATTGGGAAAAAATGCGTTATTTTGCTTAAATTGGGAATTTTTTTAATGCATTTTTTCAGCTACAAATGAGATTAGGCATCGTGAATAAAGATAGCTAACAGTTTCTACTGTCCAGATAGAACTATTGAGTGGTGATTTATAAGAATATGTTGGATTTAAATGATTTTAGAAAAATCACTTGGCCTTGTGGGCATTTTGAACAGCCATTTTGGGAATTTTACATTGGAAATTGGGAATTTTAATGTCTATTTTCTATTGGGAATGGTACCGTTTTAGGGTAGTAGTTATATAAAGAAAAAAAAACACTGTACATATTTACTTTGTTATTGTGAATCCTTTGATTATATAATCAATGATTGATCAAAAAGGGTTGTTTCCATTATTTACGATGATCGATTATGATTTTTGTCCGATAAAGAAAAGATAATAAACAAGATCAACAAGGAAAGGTGGCGTTCATGATCCAGCAACAAGAGCCAATATAATTTTGGACCCCTAAAGTTAGGCCTGGACCCCTAGTTTTCTAGGCTATGCATCCACTGGACACCTAAAATATCAAAGAGATGTAAAACCCTGGTTACCTTTGACTTTCCACAACTGTTTCCTTAAAGTACAAAAGCTCCGAAACCGTTTTGTGAAGGCATCGAGTGGAGAGCTCTTGGAAAATGTCTTTTTCATACTCACCCCACTTACTATACCCTTTGGCAGTGACACAATATTCCTCATTATGTATCTCTGCCTTTGGCACAACTCATTTGTAAAAAATGCCCCCCATGAAAACCTCTTCCATACCACTTAGACAGCCGATATTTTCTATACCCATTGGACAAATATTACTTTATGACCGCTTGGACAACACATCCATAAAAAAATGACCCCCTTGGACAGACAATATTTTCCATAACCCTTGGACAAGCATTAATACATGCACCCCTTGGACAACCATATCAATAAAAATGACCCCTTGGACAAATTGTCTGAAATACCCCCCTTGGACATCTCTTCCATACCCTTGGACAGATATTTTCCATTTACCCCTTGGGACAATCATTTATACACGTGCCTTCAACAACTTATTAGTAAAAAATGACCCCTTGGACAAATTTGTCTAAAATACCCCCTTGGACATCTCTTCCATACCCCTTGGACAGATAATATTTCCCATAACCCTTGGAAAAACATTTATACATGCGCCTTCGACAACTTATCAGTAAAAAAATTTGACCCCCTTGGACAAATTGTCTAATTTGATACCCCCCTTGGACATCTCTTCCATACCCCTTGGACAAATAATATTTTCCATACAACCTGTCTTTTTCAAAACAATACCCCCTTGGACAGTGTTATCTGAAATATGACCCCCTTGGACCTATTTTTTAAATACCCCCCCTTGGACAAAAAAATACCTCTTCCATAGGGGGGGTGCGGATAATTTCTGGAATAGCCCAATACAATATAACCCTTATGCTTACTGCTTTTAAAACAAATTCACGATGAAAAGAAAAGAATATTCATACCTGTATATATAGAAAAGCAACGGAACAAAACAGCACAATCTGCAGGTTTTCTTAATTTATCGTGAACATCTTCAGCATCTGTATCTATTACTGAACGTTCCATTTACATATCAAGGGGTAGATTTGAATAATAAAAAAAAATGGTCAGCTTTGCACACACACATTTGAAGATCTGTATTGGATGTCTTAAGAAACTAATTAAATGTTTTCATGAATATTAAAATGGTGTGAATTTTTGGTCTAAAGAAAAATGAAATATGTGTTTATCAGACGAGCGAGTCACACCTAAATTGGCGTAATCGACTCGACCGTTATATCCAAGCGTTTACGTGTGTTGATTGATCAGTGTTAAGTATGGAAGATACTGATGCAGAATTGCAAAACACGGTTCTAAACAGTGCCATGAAAAACGATCCTTGGGAACCTCTAGAAAATAAAATGCCTGATATCCCAAAGATATGTCCTGCTCCACATGATCCTTTAAAGATTTTGATAAGTTCAGAGACTTACGTAAAGTCATTAGGTACGAAAGTTATTTTGTTTCGTACTCAATCTAGTTCGTGACAATTCATAACGGTTATTTATTGGTAATGGCAAATAATGTGGCAAGAAAAATAAGATTGTGCAAAAGTTATTTTATAGTTTTTATGTTCATTTTAAAACTGACATTTGCATGCGAGTAGTTCCCATACTAAAATCGTAGTTATTTAAACTATATTTTAATAGGAAGTGGCTAGCCAAAAGTTCTAGCCGTACGTGAGTCACGTACGACTAGCCTGGACACACTGTATTGGCTAGCCATACGGCACTTTTCAAAATTATATGGAAGTCAAAAATGCATTTGTTATTTTAGTCAAATCTCCGCATTTGTTCTAGTGTGTTCACTTTAATAAAGATGCTCCGCAATTTTGCACAAAAAAATGAATATGAGTAAGCGTTGTATAATCTATCTTAATAAAATTGAGTGTCAAAGTTGCATGTTATCGGTCCCCATGTTATAACGTCCTTAATTTTCATGCTTATGATTTGTATGAAAGATGAATTGTTAAATCTGTTAATTAAGCACATGCATCGAATAAATAATGATCGGAGGGAAATAAATAAAAAGAATATTAACAAAAAAATACGGTGAAAAGGAAAAATAATTTAATAATGCAAACTTTTCTTAATGATGGACGATGGACAAACTTCTATACCGTCGGTAATTGACGCAATTATCAGAGCCCAACAACAATTATTTTCGGTGTTTTTTTGTTTGTTTTTTTTCAGTTTAAAAATTAAACTTAATGAAACAAAAAAGGATTATTATCAAATTTTGTAAACTATTTCAATTGATGTTATTTAACTGCAACCAAACGCTATTTTTTCTCCACGTCTTGAGATGACAAAGTAAATTCTTTACTGTAGCCAACACGTAGATTAATCTCTAAAAAGTAAACATTCTTGACTAAAACCCTCGCTTAAAGTCATAATTAACATATGCACTTTCGCCTTCCATATATTTTTGAAAAGTGCCTTACGGCTAGCCAATACAGTGTGTCCTGGCTAGTCGAACGTGACTCACGTACGGCTAGAACTTTTGGCTAGCCGTACGGGCCCGTACGGCTAGCCACTTCCATTTTAATAAGCTCATTCACCAAAAACTTTACTGAACATTTCAAATCAATATTTGGCTTGTCAATTAAATCATGGAAATTTGAGTATGTTCTTGATATGGACCAACTTTAGTTACGAGGCCTGATATGGGGTACTGAAAGTATCCATTATTTTTTTATATGAATATATCCCTGTTTCTCATATTATCGTGGTTTCTCGTATTATCGTGGAATTATTTAAACGGATGGAAGCGATGCTCGCGACTTCCGTTGATATCCAAAAAATTGTCTATTTAGCAGAGCTTTTTCATCTCCGGCTAAAATAACGAAAGAAATGCGACAAAAACAGACAAAAATCAAAGTAACTGTGGAAATTATCGAAAAATCCAGAGAAAACATAAAATTTATAAGTTTTTTCCCGAAAATCAGCAATTTTCTAGTTTTTTTCAATGTTGCAGAAACCTGTAGCGGGTCTCTGACGCAAGACTCTTCAAATGACGGTCTCACACTACTATATGTACAATACAGCTCAAAATATTTGTTCCACAATTTGACAAATAGATAATATACAAATCATATGAACTCCAGTTAAAAACCAATAATGAAACATAGTTTAACCTTATCACTTTTTATTTTTGACAACAAAAACACTTGTCTCTGCAAAAGAAAACTGTAGTATTCATTGCTAAATGCTCATATAACTAATCAGTAAACATAAACTTAGTATAGTTTAGAGGGATTATGTAAACAACAACACTTAATTGAGTTCAAACTATTTTTAGAACAAACCAAATCATTTGGTACCAAACAGGCGTCAATATGATCCTAAAAGTTTGATTATGGCCTACCAAGATATTATAAATTTATAATTAAAACACTAATAATTACATAGCTTAGCCATTTAACACTTATTTAGGAGTTGCACTAATGATTTGAACTGGTGTGTAGAATAAAATCATCACATAGCGACCAGCCTTAACAACCAATCAAATTCCACGGTAATACGAGAAAGCATCTGCTTCACATAGAGGGTGAAGGTCAGTATATACAAGCAGAAATATTTTTTGTTTTGCTTACGGTTACGCTCTTTCTTCCATTATATTTTCTTGAAAAGGTATTTTTCTGGGTATCAGGCTGAAAAATACTGTACCAAAATGTTTTATAAAAATTATCCAACCAAGTTTAGTCCTTAGCCCCACGATAATACGAGAAAACAGGATATCTATCTTCCATTAATGTCAAACCTCTAGTGGGGATGTATACATGCCTGTGCATTAAAAATTGAAAGAAGGTTAATAAGAGTTGTTTAAAAGAGGATAAAAGAATATTTATAAATGTTAAAAACAGGGGCTGGAAAACTAGGGTGAGACATGTTCGATGCTTGCTATATATGGCTGCACTGAACTGCTCTGGGGTAGGGAGTAGGGCAACTGCAGGGGGTAGGTGGTTCCAGTGGTATACCGTCCTAGTAGAGCTGTCATTGATTCAGTGCAAAGCATATCAACGATATATCGATATCAAGTGACTAAAATCAACGATACACCGATATATCGATAATATCCTATACTCACTTGTCTGTCATTCACTTTCATACCTGTTTCAATGATTTCAGTCAAAAACATGTTCTGTACAGTGTCTTGTCCACTGCATGATTTTTTCTAGAAAATATTTTTTGTCACCATTGCTATGAAATAATTCTACTATATAACAAAAGCATAACATTAGATATAAATAACTGCTTCTGTATATATTTTGGGTGAATTTTATATTTTCTAGACATTTAATTTATTAGTCAAAAGTATCGATTTTTTAGAATGTGTATCGATTATTGATCGGCAAAAAGATATCAATGATACATCGATATTGTCGATATCGATGACAGCTCTAGGTCCTAGGAAAGAATGAGAATTTAAAATAGTCTGAAATTGCTGTGACTAACCTATAACATAAGGGATGGCTGTAGCATGATGTTCAGGCGAGTGGTGTCAAATATTCTTCTATGGGGATAGCAACCAGACCATGGTGAATCTTATAGGAAAGGGATAACCTAGCATCTATATGTTTGAATCCAGTTTTCGAAGCTTAAGGGAGTGAAGCATGTCTGCGACTCCAGAGGTCTGGCCATAATCTAGCTTAATCCATTGGGCTGCTCTTCTTTGGACATTTTCGATTTGATCTAGTTGTATTTTAGTGTGGGAGACCATACTTTGGAACCATTTTCAAGCTAGGGTCTGACTAACACCTGGTAAGCAATGGACTTAATGGATTGGGATTTAACCTTTATGTTTCTGCGAAGGAATTCTAAGGTTTGGTTTGCTTTCTTGGATATCCTGTCTATATGGGTATCTCATATATCCAATCCAAGGTATTTAGCTGAGGTAACTGTTTCTAATTGGACTCCGTGGAGGTATCATGGTGTTGGGATAGGATGTTTCCTTTTTGCGACACAGATAACTTGACACTTGGAGGAGTTAAATTCCATATCCCACTCCAGCTCCCACTTTTCTAACCAATTTAGGTCATTTTGGAGGGTGACTGATTGTATTGCAGTTGTCAGAGCAATGTATATTGCAGTTGTCAGAGCAATGTATATTGCAGTTGTCAGAGCAATGTATATTGCAGTTGTCAGAGCAATGTATATTGCAGTTGCCAGAGCAATGTATATTGCAGTATAATGAAGTGAAGTATAGTTTGTATAGATAAAATGTAACCCATAATAATAATACAGTGATGTAATATCAGTCATATCTTTCAGTTATAATCATTGAAGAGACCATTTAACTAGAGGCAAATAGATATGTCATTCAAGAAACTTACAGTGTGGACTTAACTTTGGTACTCTTCCCTGGTACCATATCCTAACAAATACACATGCAATGAAGTGCTAATTATGCATGATCTCTTACTCATTAAAGCTTGATATGGTAATATAGGGCAAATTTTGATACTTAAACAAGTTATATTGGCCATTTATTTATACACATTTGGTATTATTGACAAACCCTTATTATACAGGCTTCACATGGCAGTATTTTTTGCGCATGCGTGCAAGGACGGAACTCCCAACATTTACAATGTCATGTTTTAACAATACACACATGAAAGTTATTTAATATGAACACATTTTGTACTTGCTGCCAAACTGACACAAAGCTTTTGAATTGTTTAGACACAAGCATGATTAAGATTTTTAACAAAAATACGCAGGGATTATTCTTGGGGGCAATTTTGGCGATTTCTCACTTAAAAATCGCTAAAATCTGTAAAATAAGAGAAAATCTCACACTTCACAGCAGTAATCTATATTTCCGTTGTTATACGGGTACTGCTATTTGTATAGGAACTACTCACATTAAAAGATTCTTATTTACTGTAGATCATTATTGTCTAAATTTAAATACCATCACACTTTGTGATAAAAACTTGACAAAATGAAAAGTTGTATATTTGTGAAACAAATAGAAGTGAATTTAATGTATATCTATATCTGTGTGCATTTTAATTATTTTAGAAATACATGTAACTATAATCCATTATCATTATTTTTTTACAGAAAAAAGACTGAACAAATTAAAGGGTAAAAATGATAAAGTGAAACCTAAAGACATGATACAAAGTTTACATGAAGCAAGAGATTTGCTTTCATCACAATTCATGTCAGAAAATACAATAAACAACAGTGCAGACTTTTTGCCAGAGAACAGTGAGTCAGTGATATCATCTATACAAAGGAGATTAAATCCAGAAAGACAAGCTTTAAATACTCAAGAACTAGTCCCCCTTGTACATGAAGATATTTTGGCAAAACTGTCGGAAGAACCTGATGATTCCAAAGAGGGTGAAGGAATAACAAGTGAAGGAAACAGTTGATTGATTTGAATGGAAAATCTGTTAATTATTAATCAAGAGCAATAGAAAATCTGTAATTTGTAAACATGTTTGCCAGAATAGTCAGCTGTATCATGTAGAAGCATAAATTGAAGATGTTGGTTTAGATATTTGTGTTGAAAACAAACAACTCTTAAGACTTATAAGTCTATATTTTGAAAAAATGTTACAAACAGTAATACATGTATCTTTATCGATTAAAAAATGGAGGAAGATTAAAAAAATGATTTAACCAAAATTTAATGCCAAAAAGAGTAACTTCCTTTGCTATAATAAATTTTATTGATAGATATTTTTATTGAAACTCTGATGAGCTGTACAAGTGAAACATGTTTGTAATTTTGGTATATATTAAAAGTATAAATGCATGTGATACTACTTTTTCATATTTTAATATAAATTATATTTTACATTGTACTATTAAATCAAGGAAAATTGAATTTTAAAATTTGCCCAGCTGACTGAGTGATTTATACTTTTAATGTGATTTACAGTAAGCAAAGAATGTATGTATACTTTATCTATTTATTAAAGATTTTTTTTAAGAATCTGAAGACACTGGCCTGGGTCGAACCTACAATATTTGGAGGCAAGGGGTTTGAAGTTTTAATGAAAACACTGTGTAAAATTGAGAAGAAACAGAATGAAAATAAATGGAGTTATTTAAAAAGCACTTTGTGCCATGTGACTTGCTAGCCTATATTTTCTTAATAGAAATAGTGGTTACAATGCATATGTACTTATACTGACCATTATAATGATTAATAAAGAACGTTTGTGAACATGTGAACATGACTTGTGATGTCAATCAAAGTCAACCTGGTTGTCAGAGAACTATTAAGAGGACAGTCTACTAATTAATTAAAGTACATCTTATACAATCTACTAAGGCTGGACAGACCAATTGATTTATAAACATTTAGAGAAAGGCTTGAATGGGGGAATGTATAGTATTTAAATTTGAACTATTATATTAAGATGATGAAAATTCTAACTTACTTACTGGTCTCTGGAATTATTTGTACATTTATTATAGAAGGTAATTATAATATTTATCTTTATGAATTTGTTTTTTAAATTTGTATGATTTTTATGATTTAATTTTCATATCTGAGAAGATGTTTGCATAATAATAATAAGAAATATTTATATAAGTCTTGTGTATCAGTAGTGATTTTTCTTTGGCACATTATGACTTCGAAATGAAACAAACAAAAAATCTGAAGGAAAGGGCAAACAATTAGTAATATAACATTTAAAATAATGACTTGAGAGCATAGTTATTATAATTATGTTTATCCCCTAAGAAAAGCAGTGTTGTAATGTGAAATTATTTGTTAATGTTAACATTGAAAGCAATATATTAAATTCCATACAAAGTGATTAAATCACTATTACTGTACAAATTGCAAAAAGGCAACAAACGTAAAAGAAGGTTCAGATAATGATAATGAATACGTTTTTGAAAACTAAAACAGTACACAAAAAATAAAATGCTTTTGAGAATTAAAAATAAAGCATATCTTGGTCAAAATAGGCCTTTTAAAAACATACAATTTAAGTTCAGTTTGGTTTTTGCAAGTTTAAATTTCTTGTTGTCACTTGTAAATATTTATTTGCATGTGAAGAAAGTTAAATTCCAGTCTCAGCAATACAAATACCATAAGTCACAGACTTTAATAACAGGACTGTAATTTAAGTCAGTGCTTTAATGCACATGTAAAGGTTACAATCATTTTGGTTATCAATCATTTGGTCATATCTTAATAATTTTTATACATGAAATATCATTTTATATTAAAAATATTTACCAAAAAGGATTAAAAAAATTGTTGAGCATTTGTTTGACCTTACTTAGCAATTCTGTGAATGGATAATAGTGAAAGCTTATGTTCATAAAACTACTAATGAATACATTTAAAGATCCTGTATGTTTTGTGAATTTATATTGTTACTGTGTGTATCACACACTTGCAAAATATTATATATGTTTATAATTATGCAAATAAAACAATTTTCAAACATCCAAGAATATGTAAAATGTGTACTGCAAATATTTGTGCACATTATATTTAAAGATCCTGTATGCTTTGTGATTGATATTATTATTGTGTGAATACCACAATTGCAAAACTTATATATGTAAATAATTATGCAAATAAAACAATTTTCAAACATCAAAGGATATGTAAAATGTGTACTGCAAATATTTGTGCACATTATATTTAATCAATAAATTACATGCATTATTTTCTTATTGGAAAATTTGACTTAGAATTTATGGAAAATAAATTTCTAAATACCTCCCTTTATTTACATGAAATGTTAAATTCGATAATATCTTCATAAATAATGCTTATTGGAACTTACAATATTGACAAATCTTAATTTGAGCATCATATTTATGAAATAAAACCATGAAAAAAATGTGTTACAGGATCTTTAATCAACAAGTTACATGCATTCATTTCTTATTGGAAAATTTGACTTGGAATTTATAGAAAATAAATTTCTAATTACCTCCATTTATTTACGCAAAATGTTAAATTAGGTAATATCTTTATAGATAATGCTTATTTGAACTTACAAGATTGACAAATCTTAATTTGAGCGTCATATTTATGAAATAAAACCTTATCTTTAATGTACTTAAATAAGTCATGCATCATAATGCGAATATATTTTATCATCAGTTTATTCACACTGAAAGAGGTCACAGATGTGTCACAACTGTAATGAAACAGTTTTTTAGGTAGTTTTATGTTTTGATGTTACATATAAGCTTGGTATACATCATATAATCATTCTATAAGTGATAAGCGTTTGTAGCCAGGACATCATGCACATCAGCGCAGTCTGACCATGCTATATACTTTTGGTAACTCACTCTTTGTGTATACATGAGTAACATGACATCGGAATACTTTTATTTTCAAACGGACTCTTATGTTTGGAAAATCCATGTAGCAACTGTAAGCAATGCGTCCATACAAACCTCTTTTTGAAAACAGGTTCTACCACTCTGCCAGGTTATAAAATAACCTAAAACATTTTACCAAACACCATACTTATAATCCTCAAAGAACTCCCCCTAATTGTGTTCAATTTAATGCACAAGTGGCATACAGGCTTTTCCTGTACCAGTAAAGCTGGAAAGTCTCAAGATTACCTTTACTGTGTTTGTGTGATGTAAAATCAAACCCAAAATTAAAACGCTAAATGCATAAAGTTCTGACATTATTTACTCGAGCGATTTTGCAACTGCAGATATCAGTTATCCCGTGCCAAGCGATAAAGGTAAAAAAGATTCGAAAATCCTCTCTTAATTAATGTACGGGTCTAAGAACATCACTTTTTTTTCGACATGACTATAACTGATTCAATGTCTAAAATTAATCTGGGGTTTGAAAATTTAAGCATAGCCCTACGGTCAAATGTTTCCGAACATCAAAGAAATTTCACTCTTATTCATGACTGCAAAAGAAACATACATGTTTAAGACAAATAATAACAGTACGTAGGAGGGTTGTTCGACATGTAATGTGTATTGTACCACAGTTCGATATCTTACACAGCATTCAGCTAAACACATTTTAAACCAATCGCGATTTTGATAGTCAATGGTTGACCAGTCGGGGAACGGGTTTAGAATATTAAAGAATTTAGTGCTTATATAAAAGGTCTTACAAAACTCCGTCATTTAATAGAGCAGATTTTTACTACATAAGGGGAAGTTAATGGGTTTTACGAGATTGTTGGTAGATGGAGAAAGAACTTTCTGACTGGCACAGATTCCGTCAAAGATGCAGCAAAATTTGGCCGACCTGTGACTGTATAAGGCAAGACAGATGTCTTAAAAGTGAAGAAATAATTGAAAGTGATGGCCGGTACACGATTGCTGATATTGCAAAAGCTGACGAGTGCATTTCATTTTGAAGTGTATCAAAGACAGTTTGCAAGACATTTTTTACTTGTATCGAAAAATGAGTTCACTATTTCGAACCAGTCAGAAAAAATGAAAACAAAATGTGGCTAACCAAACATGGTAAAAGATTGGGAAGAAATGTTTAAAGTTTTAGTAGGTTACCGTGTTGTCACACCTAATATACTCTAGATCTAGCCCCATACGGGGTTTCCTTTTCCCAAAACTGATTAGGTTCTTATCTTGTCGACAAACCCCTGACTCAGTCATCAGTCAGTGCTTCAGATCTACCTACATCAGCGTACCGTCACTACCGTGACGCATTTCATGTGATGTATGTTTATTAAGAATGCTCAATTGAGATGTCGTACAATACACATTACATATCGAACAACCCTAGTTATTCGTTATTGTGAAATTTCATTATCTTTCATTAATACAGTCCAAAAAAAGTGATTCATATAATTATATTTTATATTCCGCTGTTCATATAGTATACAGTAGACATTAATTAAATCTTCTAGACTGTACTTAATATAAAAAATTTAATTTCAGTGAAATGTCAACTCGATCTTGAAGGTCTTGTAGAAGCTCAACAGCAGCTAAATGGCGGGGGAGGGGGTTCCGGTATGGGTCGGATGATTTCCAACACAGTTCGAAACACAATGATCAGTGGTGCTTTGACTAGCGCTGTAAGGTTCGTAGTTGGTGAAACTGCGAATCCAAGCCAGGAGATGATGCAGCATGCAATAATGATGAGGTCGGCACCTAGGACACAAGCTGAGAGAGATGTTTACTTGGGTATGATGAAAAGGTTAGCGCGGCGCACACCGGAAGTTGTGCAGAAGTACACGAAAACAGAGGTACACAAGAATGGAACAAGAAGTCATACTGTAGATTTTATTGCCCTCGACGCAGACGTTACTAGAAGATCATTAATGTATCAACAGATGCGTGCAGCCCGTAGTCGTCTGCGTGAACAAGAACGCCAACAAGAAAGACAAGTTCAGTTGGAAATGGAACGGCTTAATATGCTGCGAGAAATGCGAATGAACAGTGTTAATAACGGCTTGTTTGGCGCTGGTTTAGGTACAACTAGTATGTTTAGTGGTTTTGGAACAACGATGCCTAATGTTCAATTTAATTCACTAGATGGTTTATGGCCACAAACGACGCCTTTTCCATCATATACTGTAAACTCCGGTCAAGCATTAGGACAACAAACTAATCTGTTTAAATAAATTGTTACAAAAGGGCTTTTCCTTATAGTACGTACAGAAACAAGGGGTGATTATTGTCTACCTTGAATGTTTATGATTATGTTACTTATGTTTTAGACTATGTTCATTTCGCTATGAAACAAAACATTTTCTAGAAATAGTTTAACAGTAATTCTATCAGACTTTTAGCATATGTACTAAATAAAGTTAAACATATCATATTGATTAGTTATTAGTTTCTATACATGTATTTTTCACAGGCACGAGTATCGGACAAGGAAAGAAATAATTTCAATTCAATTCAATATTTTATTTGCAATAATTAGCATACAAAATGCCTCTGGCAAAGGTTAACAAACTACAATATATATACAAATCACACATGCATCAAATTACATAATTATAATTGTTATACAATTGTTACATCATTGCGAAGCTGATTTGGAGAAACAGTAAAGTATATGACATGCATTAACTTACATATTAATTTCATTTCTTTTCAAAAATGCTTCATTTAAAAATTTCGATACATGCAGTAAAGTTGACTGTTTTCTACTTGACATTAAACTAAAAAATTTAGGTAAAGATGGCCATGCTGTGTTTGGAAAATATTTTTTGCGAATTTCAGAATAATGATCGAGTTGACTACAGATTAAAAGAAAGTGGTATTCACTTTTCAACAACATGCATTTACAATTTTCACACAATCTTTTTTATCTATACCTCGATAACGACCGGCTTCTATAGCTAGATTATGACTGCTTAACCCAAAGGATGCAAACAGTTTCACTAATTTGTCACTTTTTATTTTGTTAAGATATTCCTCTGATTCAAATACAGTTTTAAATTGAACATGAGATAATGTACTAAGATAATTTCGGCAAATTATTGATTGTCGTATGCCAATGTACTCTCTCTATCTTCGTGACAAAGTATGAAAATAGTTTACATCTTTATTAAAATTTTCCCATATATCATTTAAACCAAGATTATACAATAGTTTTTTTTTACAGAGAAAGCCCAATTTTGATCATTATTACTATTACACTCAATAGAAAATAACTTACACATTAATGACTCTGGGAGTATAACATGAAAAGTTAAATAACATAATTATGTGTTTGTTATATTAGTCACAATGCTTGATACAAAGAATTATAAGGAACATTATGCAAGTAAGACGACAAAACAACAACAACAACAAGAAACAAAGAAAGAAACACGAGCAAACACGCACGCACACACACAATATTATTAGTCGCCGGTAGAAACCGGCGACTATATTTGTAATAGTTTAATATTATACCTATGGTAGGAGAAGCCCTTAAAATCTGAAAATAAAAGCATATCAATCATTGAACAATTAAAGACAACAATTATTTTTCAGTAATCACAAAAAATCAAACATATGATAACTTTGCTCAGTGGAATGAAATATGCACATAATTATTGACGTCTTAAAAAGCAACATTACAATTTTCATAAAATGAATCAATAACGTATCCCCAAGGATCAGTCATTGAATATAAGAGATACTATTACTTTTTTCTATGTGTCAAGCATTGCTATTTTATAATAAATAAATCATGAATGATATTTGAAATGACTCTTTAGAATTATTTGGTTGTTTATTTTTATGAAACCTTTTATATTACATTATTTTATCTAATTATAAACAAATGCTCCCTGGTCTTTCGTGAGAATCACGTGACTACATGTTTATATATGTTGTATATCGTTATAAAATGACTATAAGACAGGTAATTTGTTAATGGTGGTAACTGATAAGATGTAAATCATTGTAATTTTGTACAGATAATTACATAAGTTATTTTTCATTAATCAGGTTCATACTTTATATCATAAGAGAAACCTGTTTACTTTAAAAATACATTTTCAAAACCTTTTCCTTTCTTCTTGGTAAAGAGTTTAACTTGGCCCTTTCTGTCAAACATTCGACAAAAAGTTAGACTGGTTACTAAACAATTAGATATGACACGAATATATGTTGTAAATATTGTTTGTAAAAAGTATGTTAAAACCATAAAGTTGTAAATATGTTATATTAACTTTAAAGTAAATGATTTTATTTCTTTGCTGAATAATATTTGCAGTTATTTGTTTGAGAGTGTATTTATTCAAACTTTGATGAATATATAAAAGTAATGGTACTGATACTTAATTACTTCACCAAAAAAAGTACTGGTACTGCAGTACCGAGCTAAAATCTAGTACTGGTACTGGTACTGCATAATTTGCCAAGTACTGGTACTGGTACTTAAGTACTACACCCTTAGTACTGATGCAGCTCTGATCGTATGTTACGATTGGAATACGTGTATTGATTTCAACTAAATTATATATTTTTTCTATAGCACATAATAATGATGTACAACACTTTTACAGTGAAATTGTGTTGTTTCATGTAATAATTAAACATATATATTTTCATAGTCACTTTGCAAATATTCGATGATCGGTACTTATTTGTCGGTAATTATCTGAATATTTCAATGTATGGTACAACAGTATATGTATAAAGTATAATTACCAGAAGAATTACCAGCATAGCACTTGCCTTACAAGCCTCAGTGGCAAACATTACTCAACTCATTGTTCCTCTTGTTTTTATACTTGAACCATTAAACTTATATTTTCTTATATTTATGATAATACAATTATTTTTCTATCCGGCGACTTGATGCTTTAGCATCAAAATCTCTACTTGTTATCTACCTATACACTTATAACGACAATCAAGCTGTCAAATTACTGGTTGCAGACTATAAATAGATCTTCAAGTTTGCCACAATCTGTAAATAGTTGTAAGGCCATGATCAGACTGGTAAAAGTATGCTTAACAGTATTTACGAAGCATATGACGAAATATCCTAGCGTGTTCCTGGAATATTGGCCAAATGTCCTAACGTTATCTTAGAATCAAGGTTACATTAATCTCATCCCATGTCCTCATCAAATGTCCAAATGTGAAACATGAATGAAGAATACGTTTAATAAAAATGTTTTCGTCGTTGGTGTTGAGGTATAATATAACTAGAGGATGCTTTTGTAAAAAAGCGCATGTCTCCCCCACTGCTGAGAATAACTGTGAATGGAAACAGGAATGGAAATGGAGATAAGATAATGTAAATACCCGGTAGTCACTTCAATGAAGGCTGTCTATGGATGGTTTCTATTGTTAAGGTTGTATGAGAAGATGCTTCCTAAACTGTTTGTTTTTAACCAGGTATTCAATTTTGAAAATCCTGGTTATTCAATCAGCGTATGGCAGGCGGGCGTCAAACGAAATTGCACTTGATGGTCATATCATATATAGTTTCACAAATGAAATTAAATGAAATTGTGTCTGCTCCATAATTCTTCAAACCTTTAAAGGATTTTGATGATACTTGAAACAAACGTTCATATTGTCAGATTTTTTTACACTATTGAAAGACAACTCAAATTACAATGTATGTAAAATCATGATAACTGTAGTGTCTTGGGATGACTCCACTCGTTTTCACAATGAAGCCTCTCTGGTAGATACTTGAAACAAAAAGACCAATCATCCTATGAAGTTTGAGGGTTGTAGGTCTAAAGGAACTCTAGTTATCATCCGGAAAGGAAAAATTAACCAACGGTCGCTGTGACCTTGACCTTTGACCTACTGACCATTAAAACAATAGGGATCATTTGATTAATAAGACCAATCATCCTATGAAGTTTGAGGGTTGTAGGTCAAAAGGAACTCTAGTTATCATCCGGAAATGAGAAATTGACCAACGGTCACTGTGACCTTGACCTTTGACTTACTGACCCCAAAAACAATAGGGATCTTCTGCTCTATAAGACCAATCATCCTATGAAGTTTGAGGGCTGTAGGTCAAAAGGAACTCTAGTTATCATCCGGAAACGAGAAATTGACCAACGGTCACTGTGACCTTGACCTTTGAACTACTGACCCCAAAAACAATAGGGATCATCTGCTCAATAAGACCAATCATCCTATGAAGTTTGAGGTCTGTAGGTCTAAAGGAACTCTAGTTATCATCCGGAAACGAGAAATTGACCAACGGTCAGTGTGACCTTGACCTTTGACCTACTGACCCCAAAAACAATAGGGATCATCAGCTCTATAAGACCAATCATCCTATGAAGTTTGAGGTCTGTAGGTCTAAAGGAACTCTAGTTATCATCCGGAAACGAGAAATTGACCAACGGTCACTGTGACCTTGACCTTTGAACTACTGACCCCAAAAACAATAGGGATCATCTGCTCAATAAGACCAATCATCCTATGAAGTTTGAGGTCTGTAGGTCTAAAGGAACTCTAGTTATCATCCGGAAACGAGAAAATGACCAACGGTCGCTGTGACCTTGACCTTTGACCTACTGACCATTAAAACAATAGGGATCATTTGATTAATAAGACCAATCATCCTATGAAGTTTGAGGGTTGTAGGTCAAAAGGAACTCTAGTTATCATCCGGAAATGAGAAATTGACCAACGGTCACTGTGACCTTGACCTTTGACCTACTGACCCCAAAAACAATAGGGATCATCTGCTCAATAAGACCATTCATCCTATGAAGTTTGAGAGCTGTAGGTCAAAAGGAACTCTAGTTATCGTCCGGAAACGAAGAATGGACGGACGGACTGACGGACGGACGGACTGACGGACGGACAGGGCAAAAACAATATGTCTCCCCCCGAGGTGGGGGAGACATAATTATTATATAAGACAAGTTCATGTGGCTAATATAAAAGCAATTTATTATATAGATTACCATATAGGGGGCCTCCGTGGCCGGGTGGTTAAAGTCGTTGACTTGAGATCACAGGTCCCTCACCACTGTAGTTTCGATCCTAACTCGGGTCGAAATCTTCCATGTGAGGAAGCCATCCAGCTGGCTTACGGAAGGTCGGTGGTTCTACCCAGGTGCCCGCTCGTGCCTGAAATAATGCCCGGAGGGGCACCTGGGGTCTTCCTCCACCAATAAAGCTGGGAAAAAAATCGACGAAAAATCTCGGAGGGACGCTCTAGGATGACCCGACTTGAGTGTATGGTCGCCCATATGGGCTTTCCGGAGGCGACCTTATATCAACGCATAAAAAAAGATTACCATATACAGTATGTGCGTGTTAGTTACTGTTGTTCCTGCCAGTTTACGCTTACAATATATGGCAGTATGATACAGCTGTAATTTTTGAGATTTATTTACAAAAATATATACATGTATAACTAATTAACTATATAATGTCTAATGCGTTGTTTTAAATGAAAACAACAAAATATTATGTTTGGAAGTCAAGTTACGGCGTCAGTTTATTATAGATGTATAGTGCAGGAAGTAAAAAAAATAACAATCATTGACTGATATTTCTCCCGATGTGTAATTTTAATTCGGCTGTGTTAGCAGATTTAATTATTTACTGTTGTTACAAAAATAGACAAATATATATAGCAGTGGTACTGGTAGTAACGAAAGTGTTGTAACTGCTCACTTCACATACATCCAAGATTTTTAGTGATTCAAACATGAAACAACAATTTAATCACGTATACATCCCTTCAAAATAAAACTCAATATTTCCAGTGAATATTCGCATATCAAACCTATAATTAGCTTTCTTTAGATCTTTAGAATCCGTTTTTTTTGTCCCTTCTAATTGTACGGAAGACCAAAATAAGATTGAACCGTCGACGTCCCACGTGTAAGATGGAAACTCCATCACATGAAATAAATTCAACGAAACGATCTTTACTCACTGGTAAAAGTTTTAAGAACCCCCCCCCCCCCCAAAAAAAAAAAAAAAAAAAAAAAAAAAAAAAACAAAACACACACACACACACACACACGCGCGCGCACGCACCAACGCACACACGCACGCACACACTCACACATAGACGTTCCAAGATCTTCAATCAGTGAGGTGGATTTTTCTTTTCGGCGCAAGAATGCAGTCATATATAATGTCATCGCAATATGTAACAATATGCAAATCAATCAGAAACTAGAGGATGCTTTTGTAAAAAAGCGCATGTCTCCCCCACTGCACTGTGACCTTGACCTTTGACCTACTGACCCCAAAAACAATAGGGATCATCTGCTCTATAAGACCAATCATCCTATGAAGTTTGAGGGCTGTAGGTCAAAAGGAACTCTAGTTATCATCCGGAAACGAGAAATTGACCAACGGTCACTGTGACCTTGACCTTTGACCTACTGACCCCAAAAACAATAGGGATCATCTGCTCTATAAGACCAATCATCCTATGAAGTTTGAGGGTTGTAGGTCAAAAGGAACTCTAGTTATCATCCGGAAACGAGAAATTGACCAACGGTCACTGTGACCTTGACCTTTGAACTACTGACCCCAAAAACAATAGGGATCATCTGCTCAATAAGACCAATCATCCTATGAAGTTTGAGGTCTGTAGGTCTAAAGGAACTCTAGTTATCATCCGGAAACGAGAAATTGACCAACGGTCAGTGTGACCTTGACCTTTGACCTACTGACCCCAAAAACAATAGGGATCATCAGCTCTATAAGACCAATCATCCTATGAAGTTTGAGGGCTGTAGGTCAAAAGGAACTCTAGTTATCATCCGGAAACGAGAAATTGACCAACGGTCACTGTGACCTTGACCTTTGACCTACTGACCCCAAAAACAATAGGGATCATCTGCTCTATAAGACCAATCATCCTATGAAGTTTGAGGGCTGTAGGTCAAAAGGAACTCTAGTTATCATCCGGAAACGAGAAATTGACCATCGGTCACTGTGACCTTGACCTTTGAACTACTGACCCCAAAAACAATAGGGATCATCAGCTCTATAAGACCAATCATCCTATGAAGTTTGAGGGTTGTAGGTCAAAAGGAACTCTAGTTATCATCCGGAAACGAGAAATTGACCAACGGTCACTGTGACCTTGACCTTTGAACTACTGACCCCAAAAACAATAGGGATCATCTGCTCAATAAGACCAATCATCCTATGAAGTTTGAGGGCTGTAGGTCAAAAGGAACTCTAGTTATCATCCGGAAACGAGAAATTGACCAACGGTCAGTGTGACCTTGACCTTTGACCTACTGACCCCAAAAACAATAGGGATCATCAGCTCTATAAGACCAATCATCCTATGAAGTTTGAGGGCTGTAGGTCAAAAGGAACTCTAGTTATCGTCCGGAAACGAAGAATGGACGGACGGACTGACGGACTGACGAACGGACGGACTGACGGACGGACAGGGCAAAAACAATATGTCTCCCCCCGAGGTGGGGGAGACATAATTAGTTTGTATTTGCTTTGTTATCATAATGCAACACAGCGCAACACCACTGATGTGATTTAATCCCCAGGCTTAGTTGCCAATTACTATACATGTGTAAAAATGAGAATATTTAAATCAGCATGGTAAAGCGACGCTTACAGAACGCAGTCCCGAAACAACCCAGACACAC